TCTGTTTAATGAACAAATAAACAGCAACACCCTTTAATCCTGTTCATCTCTGAATTCTTAATGCTTTTGATCTATAATTCTGAATTGAACAGTTTTTAGTCATCTCCAGACATTCCCAAACATTAGATGTTTAGCAGTGATCCTGTAGGTTCATGGAACCTCCTCACAAAGTTTTGCATTGTACATCAAAGATCCTAAGTTGCATAAATGATATAAATTAGACTGGAGCATACTTGGCGACGTGGGTGACAGATAAAGGGAAATGCAGGGTGTAGGAGGTGGTCTTTTCTATCACAGAGCTCATATTTGGTGACAGTATTAAATGAGTGCATCTTTTCCTTTTATGTTCTAGCCAGGCATCCATATAACGAGTCATGCTTTTCCCAAGGCTGAAGAGCCCCCATATCTGTCCCTTTGCTCTCTTCACCCTCTCAAATAAGAGCTCTTTCAACTTTCAAAAATTCCCTGAAGATAGTACCCATCACAAAGTTTGAAGAACCACACAATACGCTACTCCCACTAGCCCGTTCTTGTGCCAAAATCCTCATGGCTGTTATACTCATGAGAAAATTCTTACGGTTGAAAACCCTTATTGCCACCCTCCATAGTAATAATTATAGTTTTGTAGATGGGCTTGCAGTTAGATGCTCTTAAAACTTAGAAACAAAGGTAGGAATTTAAAGAAAGTTTGAATAACATAAATGTTGAATCATTGATTTTCAAATTCCATGGAGCTTCCTTTAGGAATTGATACCAAGACCTTAACTCCACTTGTACCTCCTATCCCCAACCTTTCCTCAGCCCTGTTTCATATGTTTGTGATCTTGTGCGAAATTATTTTATCTTATTGTATTTTATTTTATTTTACTTTATTTTATTTTATGAGCTAAAGGGCTCAACTTTGAAAAGTTTACAGATCACTGCATTTAGACCTTCTTCATTTATTGGTGACCTCAATAAGACTTTTGAAAGAAGCCAGAGGGCAGTGGGTTCACTGTTGATTTTTCTGTTAGAAGAGTAATCAGTGTTGATGATTCAAAGGTCATATATTTGGTTTGGATGCTAAGAGTGCAGGTAATGAGGTTGGTTCTATTATGAAAAATGGGTGAGTGGGACATGTATTCTCGTGGGGTCCTATAGGCAGGGCCTCAAAAAGTAGTTTTGGTTTATTTAAATTAAGCAAAGCTTGTTTTCTAAACAGCAGGAAAACAGAGATCCACAGCAAGCTTTTCGATTATGGCTTAAAAAAAAGCATGAAGAACAGTTGAAAGAAAGAAAGACGGAAGAACTACGAAAGCAAGAGGAATGCTTATTCTTCCTTAAGGGAACAGAAGGCCGTGAGAGGGCCTTTAAGCAGTAAGTCAAAGGCAGGGCATTTCCCTCTTCCTCAGGGTCATTTTAGAAAGTTATATAGTCAATAAAACTTAAGAAAAAATTTTATCTCTTACCTTACATACCTGTTCAATTTTAAAGCCACACTTTTAACAATATATGAGAAAATCTTTAACTGGACACTTTACATAATATCTTTACCATTCTTTCAAGATATTTTTCAATACTAAAATTGTTTCTTAGGCCACCAGTGTGATAACCTTTGATAGCCTACCTTTGATCTGATTTGTTCATCTCTAGAGAAATGAGCCAGAGACTGGCTACAGCTTCTCCTACACAGTCCTCAGAACAACTGAATAAAGAGTTGCATTTACCAATAAATATTTTTTCTGTAAAGAAAAGCGATTAGTCTGAGGAGGAAGATCTGTTAGAGACTAAGTGAAGAGGAGATTTGGGCACGTATTTTGATAATTTAAGGCAAACCTGACCCCTTTCCAGTCTCCTGGGTAGAGTTAGTATTACGTGGCTTAACTCTGAGGAAGCAGACCTGGCATCATAATTTTGCCAGCAGGACTTGGGAGAAGAGGGAACATTGTGTCCAGTTGTTTGAAGCTCATTTCTTTCTTTTCTTTCTTTCTTTCTCTTTCTTAGTTTTTCTCTTTTCTTCCTTTCTTTCTTTTAAAAAGATGACATACATGTATCCCTTTAGTATAACAGACACAGTAAAGGTGCATTGTGGGAATGGAAGGGAATAAAGTCACGTTTGCATCACCTCCAAATCACTATTGTTAGCATCTTAGTGCATAACTTCTAGATATTTCTCTGTACATATATTTACAATTTTTAAAATATAAATTGAGATCATACTGTATATACTGTTGTACAATCTGCTTATTTTCATTGATGATCTCATCTAATACCCAGCCTATAACCATTTTTTTCCCAATTGATTCCTAAAGGACTACAGTTAATTTGCTCAAACTAATATCCAATTCAAGATTATGTAACGTTGGATTATGAGGGTTCTTAAGTCTCTTTTATTCTAAACCAGTTATCCAGTTGTTTAGATTTATTTCTGAAAAAATTATATATGTACACACACCACATACACACTTTCATACCAGAGATGTTAAGTATACAGTTATTTTTGATGTTATTTTACCTAAGAAAGCTTTATAAACATACATTTTCTAAATGTGAACTCTTCCTTCACCTTTTTGGGGGGGGTAATTAGGTTTTTATTTATTTATCTTTTTAATGGAGGTCCTGGGGATTGAACCCAGGACGCTGTGCATGCTAGGCATGCACTCTACCACTGAGCTATAGCCTCCCCTCTTCCTTTATCTTTTTTATGTTTTTAATGCTTAGGCTTATTTTTCCATTTTAAGGAAGAAATATTTTATGCATTGAAAAGCGAGAGCTCTGTAATTTCTCCACCAAGAAGAGCAAGGCACCATTTCTGCATGTCGGTATTCTGCATGCTGGTTAAGCAATGTTTTAGAATATAACTAGTTGCAAAAAATAAGTCATTTAGAATCTATCAAATACTGATTTGCTTAGAAAATCATATTTTGAAAAAGGATAGGACCTATGTCACATGTAAAATAGTATGTTTATAGCTTTAAAAAGCTTTTTTGGTTGGCAGTTTCATTTTAAGACAAACTTAATTTCAAACATTTGATTCTAAATGTGGCTATGCTTTCTTATGTGAATTTGGTATAGGCCTAAAATTTTTTAAGTTAATACTTCAATCATTTGTATTGTGACCAGAACATTTCGATATAAAGAAATCTAATTTCCCTTGCCTGTTAGTAATAATTTTATTGCATGAAGAGTGTATTCAGGTTGATAGTCACCAGATCTGATTATGTCTCTTTCTACAGATGGCTAAGAAGGAAACGGATAGAAAAACTAGTGGAGCAACAAGCTGTCAAAGAAAGAACTAGACAGCTCCGGCTAGAAGCAAAGCGTTCTAAACAGTTACAGCACCAGCTGTGTGATATGTCAGATGCCAGATCTTTTCGTTTTACTGATCACTACAACTGAAGGTATCTATTAAATACTTCATTTGGAAGCTGCTATCCTTAAAATTTTGGATATCATTTCTTGTGGACTGTGTGCTTTGGTCATACCCTAAATTATGGTAATGCTGTTTATCTTTTGGTAATGTTGATGGTGAATTTATCTAATTTTTTTAATAATAGAGGAAAATAAATTTCTTCTCTCACAGTGTCGTAATGTGTTATACCACTTTTTATTCTATGCAAAAAACTGAACAACAAATGAACTCTACATTCCTGTACTTATAAATTATTTTAACATTTCTAGCTGGAATGAAAAGAAAGGGACAGATATCTGTTCTTAGTTCCTATTATCATTTAAAAAAATACAACAGAACATTTCATAAGGCCGGAGTGATGACCTCTTAAACAAACCTGGTTCAAGACCTTGTACAAAGTCCTATTTATGTCAACTTTGAATCTGAGTAGCTGTGGCAAGCTAAGCAATAGGGTAGGCCTACTTCCACGTGTTCTTTTAAAAGAAAGAGATAGTAACAATTATGTATACTACTTGGGGAATGTTAAAAAATTAGCCAGCTCTCACTGAGAGTTTGTAATGTACCTGGTATTGTTATAACTCTTTTACATCAATAATTTGATCCAACCTCATAACAACCGTATTAGTCTTGCTTTGCAGATGAAGAAACTAAAGTATAGAGGTGAGCAGTTTGCTCTCACAGACTCTGACCTGTATAATTGTAAAGTCCTTTCTCTCAGTTATATTATAAAGCTTACATACGTTGGTAGACATTTGTGAATATTTAAGACTATCCAGGACTCTGATAGGTGGAGGAACAGTATCGATACGTATAAGAGCATTTAAAGAGTGGAGGACAAAGGCAACCATAGGAGAGTGGAGACAGGACTTCTGTTAAAGCTTCAAAAGAAAATGTTCATATCAACTGGGTATTTGTACCTTAATCACTTGACTCTAAATTCGAAGACACAGAGAACTATTCATACCTGCCTCAGCTTCTTAGAGCATTTTAAGCATATACCAGGCAATTTAATATTTCATTATAACTAGTCTTGTGTTGCTTAAAGTTTATCCTTAATGTAAGAACCAATTTGATACTAAAACATTACACAGATTTTTGCAAAAAAAAAAGGCTGTTGGAATTTTTATAGGGATGGCAGTAAATCTGTATGTAGATTGCTTTAGACTATATTGCTATCTTAATAATATTGTCTTCCAATCCATAAGCACAGGATGTCTTTTCAGTGTTTTGTAGTTTTATGTGTAAGTCTTTCACTTACTTGTTTAAATTTATTCATAGATATTTATTCTTTTGGATTCTATTGCAAATGGGATTGTTTTCGTAATTTCTTTTATGGGTTGTATACTCAGAACACATAGATGATTTTTGTGCATTGATGTTGTACCCTCCAACTTTGCTGAATTTATTAGCACTTAATTTTTTGGGTGCATTTTCTGGAATTTTCTATATATAGGATAGTATCATCTGTGAATAGAGAACCGTTTTACTTCTTCCTTTCCAAGTGGGATGACTTTTATTTATTTAATTTTCTTGACTGGTTACTCTGGCTAAAACTTCTAGGATAATGTAGAGTGGTAGTGGTGGAAGTGGGCATCTTTGTCTTGTGCTTGATCTTAGAGGAAAGCATTTAGTCTTTGACCGTTGAGTATGATATTAGCTGTGGGTTTTCCATAAATGCCCTTGATGACTTTGAGGAAGTTCTTTTCTTATTCCTCTATTCTACTTATTCCTATTCTTCTATTGCTATTTTTCTGAGTGTTTTTATCATGAGAGTTTGTTGGATTTTTATCAAATTCTCTTTCTGCATCAAATGAAGTGATAATATGGGTTTTCTCTTATGTTCTGTTAATGTGATATATTACATGAGTTGATTTTCTTGCATTCCAGAGACAGACACCACTTGGTGGTACATAGTCCTTTACTATGCAGTTGCATTTGGTTTGCTAGTATTTTGTGAGGGTTTTTCATCTATATTCATGAAGAGATCTTTTTCTGTAGTATTCTTTTCTTGTGGTGTCTTTATCTGGCTTTGGTATCAGGGTAATGCTGGCCTCATAGAGTGAGTTAGGAAGTGTTTCCTGTCCCCTCCTCCTTTATTTTCTTGAAATGGATTGAGGAGGATTGGTATTAATTCTTTAAATAGTTGGTAAGAATTCACCAGTGAAGCTACCTGGTCCTGGGCTTTTCTTTGTTGGGCGATTTTTTTTTTGTTTTTTAATAGACTTTATTTTTTAGAGCAGTTTTAGGTTCACAGCAAAATTGAGCAGAAAGTGCAGAGCGTTCCCATAATATTATTTCCTCCTCCCTCATTAAAACCTCCCCTAGTATCAGCATCCCTCACCAAAACGGAACATTTGTTGCCATCAATGAACCTGCATTGACACATCATTATCACCCAACATCCATAGCTCACATTAGGGTTCATTCTTGGTGTTGGGAGGTTTTTGATTACTGATTTAATCTCTTCACTTGTTGTAGGCTTGTTCATATTTTCTGTTTCTTCTTGAGTCCCCACTCTCATTTCTGATTTTAGTTATTTGCATTTTTGTTTTTGCTTGGTCAGTCTGGTTACAGGTTTGTCAATTTTGTGGATTTTTTCCAAAGAACCAGCTTTTGGTTTCCTCAATTCTCTTTTGGTTTTCTAATCTCTACCTTATCATCACTCTAATTT